TGCAGCTCGTCCACACGGACAAAGTTGGTCTGCGTGCCCGCAAACACATCGATCAGGAGACGCTCGTAGGCATCTGGCAGGGTCATGTTCTGTGTACGCGCGTGCGTGCGGTGGGGGGTAGAGGGGTGAGAAAAATGAAAAGGATGAAAGAATGACAGGCTCGATTACAGCCGTCCCCGGTCCACCCAAGCGGCAGTGCGGCCATGCCTCAAAAGGGCACGCAGTGTTTTGGCAAACACGTCGAACGGAATCCTTGTTGATGGACCATCATCAACTCAAAACACTGAAAATCGTAAAATGTTAACTGTCAGGTGCCAGCTAGCAGGCAGCTAGAATATAGGCAGCGAGCCGCTCTTACGGCAGGCTATCGATCGGCCTACACGGGCGAACGCATATTGGCCGTAATTTGCGACCAGCCGTTGAGTCACGAGCCAATCGTTTCGCTACCCTCACCAAGACAGAAGCTGATTGGCCCGATGGACTTAGTGTAAACGCGTTTTTTGCTCTAAATATGTTGTACGCATTACACTCAAAGACTTCTGCTTTTGCCCTGTTCTTTCTTGGGGGATCGCAATTGGGCGGTGACACCTCGGCCCTGGCTACCGTTACAACCTTAACAACTTGTTGATGAACGTTCACCGACCGATTAACCATTTTGAAAGTGTGTACAGTCATTTGCGATAATTTTTTTCGCTCTGACTCAGCCAGGTTATGGTCATTTATTCGCGACCCAAGCATATGTTCCTCCTGACCTGTACTGTTCTAAGGATAGATTAGGCATGAGGGGAATTATAAAACCCAAATTGGTTAGTTGGGATTTTATAGGTAATTAATTTTACGAATTTCTTGCGCATGGAAAGCTTGCGTTGATGGGAGGGGGTGGACAATTTTAGCACTTATTTCCAGAGCAGGTTTTTAAATAACCTTCATTCCAGGTGCCAACAAAAAAAAACTACATTGTAAGAATGATAAATGAAGTAGTGTGCATATTCACACTCGTTGACGAATGTTCACTGACCGCTAACTGAAATCATCTGTCCCACCCTGCCTGGGATCTCGACAGAGGGCCTGACAGTCGTAACAGCTGGTATTAGTAGGCAGATAGGATTGCCGGCAAAGACAAGGGAATGACCATTTCTGGTTTATTAGGCGTCGCCAGCCAGCCAGTCATACCCAGACCTAAGTGGTGCCCCATCCGAGCCTCGAACCAGAGTCTAACGCCCTAGCTACCGGGCAAAGAGCTCGTTGTCTCGCTGTGTTTCAAGAACGATCTGAACCTTGTCGTAATCGGATATCAGAAATGATTACAAAGAAGTGTGACTGAGGGCAATTACCCTTAATGTACCCTTACGATTTCACCTGACAATTCCATTGCAATTTATTAGTCACTTACCAGCATGTCCACGTGTGAACTTACGAAATAGCTTACTCCTGTGATGTCCCAATCACGATGAACTATATCTAATCTTTTGCGTTGATAAGATACTTCGTGTAAACTTTTTTTGATTATGAAACCGTTATGGAACAGTTGTTATTCCTTTCATTTATTGCACTTAGAAATTCTGACGATCATTATTCTGTAGAGTTTCCTTTCCTACATTGTAACTTAACTGAATAAGGGAAAAGCAAACATTGGTGTGCACGAAATGCAACCTGAAAACCAATTACAAAACATCAAATAATTCGGTATTTATTTATCACTCGTTTTAGTAAGGACGCATTCTCTGAACTGCTAGGGTAAGGGTTAGGATTTAGGGGTAGTATTAAGGTTTAGGGTTGCATTCGCTGCAACTATAGAAAAACCCATTAAATTTTACTAACATTTTTTTTTAAATATACCGAATACAAAAAAGTGCCGCACTTTGCAATGACTTCATACTAAAAAGATTATTACACAAGGTAGCCAATCAGCAAACAGTATATTTTACGCACCAAAGTGACATATAGGCCTTCGCGTAGTATGATAAGCCAAAATGCAACCGCACCTCGCTTAGACTTTAAATCAAATTCAAAATTAATCTATCTAAAACTATAAATAAAATCAAACTAATGAACTAAACAATCAAATGAAAACTAAAAGTAACCACAGGAAGCTAAAGATTTCCGAAATTTTGGGGTGCGCTAGTAAACATATTACGCGTACCAAATTACATACAGTACGTATATAAGTACAGTGGTCGCCGGCTATTAAGCCCACCTCGGGCCCAGACCAAATTGGG